ACTGTGTCCATTTCTAGAAATAGCCCAACCAGTGCTTACCCGGCAAAATTGTCAGTTCTTGAGCAGGAACCGGCTTTGTGCAAACGTGTGACTTTCCTGCCCTGGGGTTAGACTTTGGCTGTTTGCCTCGAGATCCCCAAAGTTAGAACATGTTAAACAAGAAAAGGAAGAAAAAAAAAAAGAAGAGAAAGAGAGACCGAGCACACTGATTTTGAAGTATTGCGCACAGATCAGAGAAAGACACGTAATTCACATTTTGTTGACAAAGGGCAAACAGCTGTTGCATGATATTGCTAATCGTATTAACCTTTAGAGGTATAAGAAAATCATTCAAACTAATAGTAATACATATTGATAAAAATGAGCAATGCAGACAAAGACAATCACGTTCCTGTTGGCCATTAAATGATTGAAAATAAAAATATGAGGCAGTTAAATGATTGTGGCTAGTAAAATTGTCCATACTGTAGTCTCGGCTGCATTGCTCATGTTGCGACAGAACAGTGGTCTTGTGCAAAAGTTGCCATATGTGAGCCTTACACTTACAGTTTTCCTTCCCATCATTTCCTATTAGGGTGTAATAGGGGTTATAAGGATGCCTTTTTGCACGGCAAAGAAGAGCCATGGGTGTTCCGAGGAGGTCTGACAGGAGAATTACAGGTATTGGCTCCAAGCAGCCCCTCTGAGAAATTGATACATTCATTTTTTTGTGAAAATTGACCTTTTTGTTGTTCTAACACTACAGGCATAGTTGCTCGTCTATGGCACTGCAAGCTCCTGCGAGCGATCGCTGCGCGTGGCGCGTTTGACGTGAAACGTGTTCGCAAAGTTGCAGGTCTTCTCAAACCAGTAAAACTTGGAGGCAGTTGTCACTTTGTTAAATACAAACACTACTACATTAGTAAAGGAGTTTTGGCTACCTACTGATTCTAAAATATTTCTCTCTGATAAGGTAATGTTCTTTAAAGCCTCCTTCATGTTTTACTGGTTTTTAGGAGACAAGCAAGTACTTTGTGAAGACTAAACTCACTGAGAAAGAAGGAAACCCCTGTCTAAAGTCTTGGCCCTTGTTGGAATCTTTCTGGGCAGCCAGATTCTGTGTGCTGCACAGACCAGAAATGCAGACAGAATAAACAGGAGTTTCTTTCTAGCTACGTGAGAGGTTGGCCCCAGTTCTGCGTACATCAACAAGCAGTTGACGTGAATTGTTCGCGATGAGTTTCTGGTCTTAAAAATGCTTTCAAAACTGGATCGCTCATGTCAACAGTAAAAGAAGTTTTGGCAAATGCTAGGTTGATCAACAGATATGAAGAAATTACTGTTAATATGTATAAATACAAAAGCATTCTTGTGACCAGAAGACTTAACCGGTATTAATTACTATGGCAAGCAAGCAGGAGTTTTCTCCTCTGTGGCCAAAGGGCAAGTGATTGTATTCTTTGATGGCAGGGTTCTCACTAGGCTATTTGAGTGTCTTTTTTCAGGGAGAGCCTTTTTACCCTTCATAAATCTTTAAAAAAAATTAAAATTTGACTTGAGAATGAAGCTACAACGGAGGAAAACACAACTTTACACAATTTGTCCCTCAAAAAGCAGGAATATAATGTAACTTCCATGGTCGTGTTATTGCACCATGGAAAGTTTTCCTTCTGCACCTGACCCTTACGCTATAATTAGTATGCAAAGAATCCTTGTGAGAACTCTGAATGGCATTTGGAACTGTAATACCATTACAAGTTACAACAAAAAAGATAATTTTTCTTCATCTTTGCCTTGCATGTCCGCGCTGTATGGACTGCGAAGCAAAGATGCGTCTGCCTTTTCACCACAGGGGAGTTGTATTGCAGTGTCATCATTAAACTTTTCTGTGTTCTCCCACAGCAACAGTCTGGGTTACATTACTGACGTGGTTTTTCTGAATGTTCCTCTCCTACAGAGACTGTTACCCATCGATGGTGCAGGGGACTTGTTCCAGCAGAGAGCTCCCGAGTCTCCACAGTCTTCTATCTACATCATACGCCCGTACTTGCACACTGATCAGGTACGCTGTTTATTATGCTCTAACATGTAGTTTGTGGATAATGTTCAACTACATTTGATTACCTAGAAAAATATAGAGTTGCAGAAGTGGCGTTGTGTTAGCAGACTTACCCTTAATTTTAATGATCTGAGATCAGCTGAGTTCTGTCCAGCTGTGAAATTGAAAACACACTTTATATTTTATGAACTCATTTAGCTTTCATACAATTCAATGAAGTCAATGACCTATTCAAGAACACTGAACCTGAAAACTAAAGAAAGAATGACATGTTTTAGGTTGTTGTTTGTCTTACGTGAATCACTGAATGAACTGAAGAGATCACAGCTGTTTTTACAGTAGTGAGGGCCAAACACTCAGCCGTGGTGTTGTACTTTGCAGGATGATGTGTATGAGGTCTGTAGAAAGACGTGTGATGATGGCCTGGATGGAACAGACGTGTTTCCAGATCATCCAGCTCTCATCGGAGACAAGTTAGTAGTGATTCTTTTTCTTCTTTCTTTACTCATCCTCTTCTGAGGTGCACTGTGTGAAGTTATGTCACCATTACTTTCTGTCTTTCATTGCGTAGTGATTAGTTCATCTTAATGACAAAGTATAACAGTATGTAGTGCAGTCAGAAATGAAAGATGTACTGGATTCTATAGCCTTTAACTATGGCTTATAAGAAAGTTGAGTATGGAGGAAGAAAAGCCAGTACAGATAGCTTAACGAACACAACCTTGAGATGAAAATGACCTTGAGATCAAATAAGTAAAGCTGGTACAGAGACATTAAGGAACACAATTTTCCTTTGTTCACTACACAGGCTGGTGGGATCGTTCCTGACCCTGAGCCCGGAGTTCTGCTTCGTGGCGCTCGATGCCAGCGAGAAGGTGTGTGGGTACGTGGTGGCAGCTCTGGACGCTAAGGACTTCTACAAGAAGTTTGAGGTGGCCTGGCTGACCGACCTGTGCAACAAGTACCCCAAACCCAAGGCAGAGGGGAATCTGTCACCCGCTGAGGTATGTGTACTTCAACATTGTCATCAGTCAGCCTTTATCTGTATCACACCAGTTCTGTGTTAAATGTTTGCACACTAAATTTGTAGCTGATTGATTTTGAAATAACCCTATGGAGAAATGTTAGCTTCTTTGAATCATTTAAGATATCCCTGACAGTGTGATATCCCTACTGAAAGGCTGGATATTGTGCAAAATCGGTGTTCAGAATTGTAACAGGGCCCAAACACATCTACAGGCTGATGTTGTATACATATATACATGACGTGCAGGCTACTGCAAGGGGTCGCAGTTCTTAGAGCAGGACATTAAGCTGTAGTCCACTATTCATTGTGCTTGTCGAAAAGATGTGGGGGAATTTTCCTGTTACAATGACATAGTGTCTGTCTTCTCTGTCACAACCAGGAGATAAGTGAGCTAAAACTGGATCAACATACTTTCCTTTTCTTATTTTACAAAGTGCCATTGTTCTGCTTGCAGGAGATCATCAACAGTTTCCACAACTACAAGGTGTACCTCCCCCCGAACCTGTACAAGAGGTTCCCCTCCCTGCTGAGAATGAGTCTGCTACCTCAGTTTCTCATGGACGACCCTGGTGTGGCCAAGAACATGATGGCCTGTCTGTTCGCTGCTCTGAAGGCAAACGGTACGTTAGTTCTCTAGTCCCTAATATCTGCAGTAAATACCATGATTGCTGTTGATGGTCATCTGTGTTGGTGGTTACATGTTTAGAGTTACAACTTTTGCTCCAACACAAGAGAATTGTTCTCACCTACAGCTTTCGACCAGTCATTCTGGTCTTCATCAGTAGGCTGACCTAGTGAGACTTGACATGTGGCTTCTCTGAGGAAGACTAGGGTGACTGGTCGAAAGCTCAAGTTGAGAACCTTTCCCCTTTGTCAGACCAAACGTTTTAACTTCAAACAATTCCTTCATGTGTTGGTTCCCTGTCATTCAAGTCATATTTTGAAAGTAAACTTTGGTGAAGAGATTTCTCTAAAAAAAATTATTTCCATGAGGAATTTTGGATACCATAGCATTTGTATGAGAGGGAAAGAGATTTGCGAAGGTAAAATACTAACTAGCCTCCTGCTGTCTTTTCACAGGCTCCAACGGTGTGTACTGTGAAGTCAACATTGGAGACAAGCGCATGCTGGAGTTCTACACCAAGATGGGCTTCTTTGATGTCCCCATGCTAGACGAGTACTCAGAGGAAGTTCTCATCCTTGGCAGATCCTTCTAACAGACGAAGCAGACTGCAGTACAAGATGACACGTCTTCTTCACAAAGCCAACGACTTCAAAATATTCCTTCTGAATTTCCCTACTTCAGACTAAATCCTCTCAGTTGCTGTGCTCCGATCTGTTTAGTCAATAAAGTCAATGATATTGTTTGGTACTACATGTGGTGGTGAAGTTGGGTTCGCAGCTTGCTTGTGTTATTCCCAGGGACATCTGTACACTATATCTTCACTGAAGGTATTACGATAAGTTGGGATCAAGTCCCAAAAGAAGAAAATGTTCTTCTAATTATGTTTTTACTTTGACGGCTTGACTTTCTTTGTAAGACTTAGAGAGACCCACAGAATTGCACATGAAAGGAAAATGCCAGCTATATTCTATCGTAATATGCTTGGAGACAAGCAGTAAATGATTATTGACAATTGTATCTTTTCCCTGTCACCTTGGTCAAAATGGAAGTGCTGTTTTCTGTTATCATACATGACCACTTCATGCAGTCGCACCATTATGGTTTCTGAATACTGGTGCATATTTTCTAGATTGCTTTGTTTCTTTGACAATAGTGTTACATGTTGTGACTAGTTTCGTGACTTTGTAGGTGTTGAAAATGCTTCAACATTTAGTCTTTATTTTCTACCATTCGTTACAGAAATAAGAATATTGCAGTATTCTTTGCATTGTGTTACTTTACCCTTTACACTATGACTCGATCCGTTACACTTTTTTCATTTGTGGAAATATTTCCAAAGGCCAATTAAGAAGAAATGCTGTAATGTGAGTAAATCCAGAGAAGGATGTATTTATTGTCGACCAATACTGATCCCAGACAAGTATTATTTTTATGAAGGCAATAAATGTTGATAGATTTACTGGAATTGTTGTTACTATGACAAAAAGGACAACATCCAGAAAAGACTTGATGTGCAGACTTAGAATCTATTCTTTGCCTTGCAAGAACAGTATTTGGTTCATCACCAATAAAAATGCAATAAAAGTGGTGATCTGTGTGAGTCTTTTAACTAGTTTTGTGTTAACTTATTTACATTCCTATCAACCAGCAGTAACAGGAATATGTAGTGATCAACTAAGTTGTATTACATCATATCAAGAAGTTAATTCGAAATGTGACTTTCCAATGATCTGTAGCGGTAGTCAAAATTAGTTACAGGTCGTACTGTTGCAAAATAGTTAACACTGATTTCAAAACTTACTTACCATCGAGTTAGTAACTCGAATATGGGTAGCATGAAGTTCTACAGATGTGCAAGAGCAAGGGTAGCAACTAAGTAACTATCAGTCATAAGGAAATTATTTTATGCTGCATGGTATTCGATATTTTAACTCCAGAAAAAACACTAGCAGTAGAGCTGCTGCATGGATTTTACAGGAATTAATTTTTATGAAGCTGTTGTAATCTACAAACGATATTAGATACACAGATAGTACAGATCAAGCAAGGGTAGTCAACATGGCAAGTCAGGGTTTTAAAGACAGTGCCACCTGGCGGCCTAAGTTGCATTGCAAGTTTTAAGAGACGGTTCCATTATTTTCGTAGGGTGTTGCTGAAGTGTGGAATGAGCTAGCGAATGGCAAAATTAGATCAATCTTCGTAGCCTATAAATTTTCACAGAAATAACATAACTATTTCTGAAAATTTTTACTACTTACAGGTGAAGGCAAATTACGCGATGATTTAGATTAATTTTAAGAAAGAAAACGATAGTCTCTCCCTAATTAAAAATGGGCGCGTCCAAAACCAACATGGCAGTCGTTTTGACAAGACACTTCGGAAGTATTTTCTTGTAAACGCCGAGAAAAGCACTTGGAAAAGAAAAATAAGTCCTTAAAATGGCTAAATCAAACCTCAGACAGGCGGAGAACACCAACGGATCTAGCGAGGCAGTAGATATGCACAAATTCTGCCTGAGCTGGTTGAAAAACCGGGAACTCGGGCGCAGGCGAGGGTGCGAGGCGAGTCGTGCTCAGAGTGATTTTATTGGTAGGGTCTACCCCACGTTACAGCGGAGACACTGGCCCGGTGCTCCTATCGTGGAGGAGAGCAAGAGACCACACACACACGGAGCCGTCTTCAACCTAGAGTTCTCCCCAGATGGGTAAGAAAGGGTTTTATTGTCTGAAAATGAACCAAAATGTGTAAAAATTATTTATGCATGTGTTATACACGCACGCACGGACGACACATGCGCACGCCATGTGCGAGTCTCCGTGACAATAGTACCATATTTTACGTCATCTCTTTATGAAAATTTTAACCCTGAATACCAAAAATATTGTAGTGTCAATAAGTCACGTTTTAACTGAAACTTATTGTAGAAAAGAATATGATTTACTTCCAAAATCCTGACTCCTTCCTGAAATTATTCCCCCATGCATCCAACCACTATAAATTGACTAATATTCCTGCTTGCTCCCTGCCAGATAATAATGTCCTCTGAGACTTTCAAGTTCACCCCATTTCCTGAGTCTGACCTTTTGACCTGTCATTCTTCCTGCCAATCCCCCACCCCACCCATCCAACCAACCAACCCTATCACCAACCTACTCCGTCCACACATACAGACACAAACCCACAGATCAGCCACCCAAAACAATACTAGTACTACTGTTGCCGTTCCTGGAAGTAACAAGAATGTTTACATTTTGTTTTCCCACATGTAAAACATGAAAATACATAAAATGCATTGCCTCAAAAATATGCAAATAGAGACATTAACCATACATCACAGGTGTTTTTATGTTTATCTTTTTTTTGCAGAAGGAAAACATATTGTTTTTGCTTGGTGTCTTCTTCTTTGGTTGCAAAAAAATAAAGTCATGACATGGACCAGATGTCTGTCACCATGGTAACGTGTTGGATTTATACATTATCTAGCAGGGCAGGGCTGGGGAGTAGTCCCAAGCCTATACCATATACTAGTGCATGTATTTGAGTAAGGATAAACAGAGTAGTAATTTGTTGGGCTAGACCAGGTGAAGGTTAAGGTACAACATACTTACTTAAGTATTATACATTTGCTTTGCAAACACCATTTTTTTGTTCCATGTGTAGGAAGGTTCTGGCTGCAGCATGTGAACACACAGATGTCCTCCTGTACGACCCACTGACCACCAGACAGTTCCACAAGATGGAGAGGGCTCACCTGGACTGTGTCAACTGTATCAGGTCAGACAATAAGCTGATTCATAGTTCAGACTGCATATTACGAGCAGTGGGATGCATTGTGGGGTATATGTTATAAGTTGAGGGTCGAAGAATGTTAGACATCCAGGTAATAAATATAAGATACCATCAAAAAACAGTTACTAGAGTGTAACTCAAGCAACTGGATATAATTTTGGAAGTGGTCAGATGTCATCCACATGATCAAGTAGCATCCTTTTATCAGTGACACTGGCTCTCAATAAGACTGAAAGCTCTAACTTCTAAGCGCCTCTTTAAATTGAAGTCACTATAATCATCGAAGTCCAACCCATCCATCCCTCTAGCTGTCTATATACTGTATTGCATTGAACAATATGTATATATATATGATGTGCATTTGTTCCAAATGTAAATTTAAAACAACTTGATAACATCACTTAATACATGTAGACACAAAACTAAGTTATAACCTCTCTATGTTCCATACATTTTTTGCCCAAAAGGTTCCTAGATGCCAGGATGTTTGCCACGTGTTCAGACGACTGCTCCGTTTCACTCTGGGATCTACGCAACCTCAAGCAAAGCATCTGCCAACTCAAGGGTCACACCAACTGGGTGAAAAACATTGAGTACTCTCGGAAAAGTGGACTGCTGTTGACGTCGGGATTTGATGGAAGGGTTCTTACATGGGATATTAACAAGTAAGTACTGGGCTCAAAGTACTGGGTGCATCTGCACTTTTGTTGACTGCACCCAAAATTGGAGCTGTACACCTAATTTCTGACTGAAAAGGCATATAAATGCACGCGTTCAACATTAAAACTGATAACTCTCTGAGACAAGTATTTCCTGCTTATTGAGGGGTAAATTCCAAGTGGTCAGACATGTAGCTTCCTTTTATAGTCAAATTTTTATTTCTTGAAAAATTTATGAAAAAAGTAAGGGAGCTAAATCACAGCATAGGGGATCCAAATGACAGTGTAGGACTAGGAGGCCCCTACTAGTATGCTCCAACAGCATAGTAAGAACCCTGACCACGGTACATGTAGATTACAAAAATTGGACTCCCCTAGGCTGTGATTTCTACACTGTCTTTCCAAAAGTCAAAATTTCCAATTTCTTCTTGACCCAGGTACATGGAAGACGGGTGCTCCCACGAGCGGGTGTTCCACACCCATGGGCTGATGCGGACCCGGCTCACCCCCGACGGATCCAAAATGGTCATGTCCACCGCCATGGGCTACCTCATCGTCATCCACGACCTTGACCTCTCCAACATGGCCGACGACCTCAAGTTCTTCAACGCCGCCAACTACATGCGCTGGTAGTTCGGGATTTTTTATATCTGTACATCCATATTGTGTATGGTTTGATTTTGGTAATTCTCTGTACCCCTGATCCTCTTTTGTTCATGTACAATTTGTATTATCAAATGGTGTCGTATAAGCACACATGGGCCGGGTGCATGAAACGCAGGACGACACAGAAATAATTCCTTCATTCATCTTTGTTAGAAATACCCACCTGCAGTCTGCAGAGACATTTTCAATATTGCAGAAGAAAAATTATGCAACCTGCAATTTTGCAGACAGAAAAAAACAGGCTGGGGGTTCAAAGGGGTTGGCATAATATTCTTTTAAGAGCTGTTGTGTTTACTACTGACTAATAAAAATGAGCAATTTTGCTTGTAGTCTTCAAATAGTTTAAAATGCTTGCCAAAATTCAATTTTGCATATGCCATGGGTTCAGGTTCGGACTTTATTTTTAAATTTTGACATTCTGCAATATTGCATAACACTGAAAAAAAGGATTTCTACCACTGTTTATTCCTTCAGGTACCACATCGAGCAGGCGCCGAGCGTGGCGGGACAGGACGCGGACGGGGCGTACTTCCGGCTGGCGCGGAACCGGGTGGAGATCGTGACTGACTTTGTGCCTGCGGAGAACTACTGGTACATCACGTCGCTGCAGGTCCACCCGCAGGGCTGGTGCTCGCTGTCCAGGTACACCAGCCCTGACGACGACTCTGAGGTGAGGGCTTCTTGTAGCCTCCTTTGCAGTCTGTACAAATTTTGCCTTTGGGAGGCTTAGAATCACACTTTATGTAAATACACATACAATGTATTTCTCAATTCTAATATGATGCCTTGACGCAATGCAGCCAATTGGGCTGCCGTTTTTGAAGCAATTTTACATGCCTTTTGTGACATCAAATTGAAGCTATTCTAGCATGAAGCACAACAGATTAGAAACACTGGGCCCGGTGTGAACTGTCAGTCAAAATTAGTGTCTGAGTGTATGTCTGTGAAATTTTTTAGAAAGTACTCTAGTACATTTATTTTGCATTCTTAGCAATTTTAACAAGCTATGGGATAAGTCTGTTGTACCACCAGATGAATTGTAGGCTGACAAAGTAGAAAATGAACTGCACAGCAGATGATGATTACGAAGCAAGTCTAAGCTGCAATTTCCAACACAACAAATTGGACTCACCCAAATTTTGGACTGTACAACTCCAGTCTTTGTCAAGGAATGAGCAATCCACTGCTTCCGTGACGTCACGCAGATAACACGTGACTCCATGAGCAGTGGATTGCTCATTCCTTGACAAATACTGGAGTTGTACAGTCGAAAATTTGGATAAGTCTAATTTTTTGTGTTGGAAATTGCAGTTTAAACTTGCTTCATAATGATTTCTACCAACACAGATTAACTTTCAAGAGCAGATGATGATGATGTCTCTGTTTGTTCCTTCACAGTGGACATGTGTACACGACCTGCAGGACTCTCCCAAACAGAAACCGGGCGTCACAAACGGACAAAAAATGCCGCAGCACCAGACGCGGCCCCGCCTCACGCACTTCATCGAAGAGGCCAACGTCGGCAGAGGCTTCATCAAGGAGCTCTGCTTCAGTGACGACGGACGATTGGTTTGTTCGCCGTTCGGGTACGGCGTGCGGCTTCTCGCCTTCGACCCCAAGTGTAGCGAACTCTGTGACTGCCACCCCGAGACACCCGTGCAGTTGTACGAAGTGAAAACAGTGGTGACGCACGCGGACACGGTTCTCACGACAAAGTTCTCCCCGATTCACTGTATGCTTGTCTCAGGCTGCCTGAGCGGGAAAATATGTTTCTACCAGCCGACCCTATGATGTCAGACTGAACAATGGTGCAACACGGGTCGGATCTACATGTACCTTTAATAGTGATGTTATTTTGCAAGGAAAAATTACTTCTCGGGTTGTAATCAAATGAATTTTGAGAAAATTGCTCAAGTAGCAATCGTTTTAGTCTGTATAAAAAATAAAAAATAAAAACTTGTTTCAGTTTTACAAACCTGAGTGTCAGCTACATACTGCTGGAAATGTCAAATAAGATTTTTGTACAATCTTGAAATGGTTTTCCAAGTTAAAACAAAGTTGCCTGAAGTGGCACCAAGTGCTCTTTTGTACTGGTAACTAGAATCAAGAAAATTGTTGAAACATATGCTGCTCTACAATCAACTTAGAATTTTCAGCAGGTACATGTACTACAAATTGACCTGAATTTGTATGGTAGTTTAGTTCATTGACGGCTGTTTTGGAGCCTGATTGAATTAGAGACTTCTGTAGGCAGAAACGTTCAGAATATTTCACCCACAAACAAGAGTTGATTTCAGACCAATCAGTACTTTTGTATTATATATAAAGCACTACCAGAACTGCCAAAACCAAGTGAAATAACAATCATTATTGGTCCACAAATACAGACTATTACTTAGTATGCCATGCCATACAAATTAAGGACAGCATCACTGGTCCACAATTGGTAATGTCACCCTTTAGCAGAGCGTACTGCGCCTGCACGAAACCCATTATGCACTTGGCATAGCACTTCAGCAGAACGTCTCATTTAAGATTGTATTTAAGGATAACATCCTGTCTATAGTTTTCAAATGTTGGGTCGGAAAAGATGTGGTCTGCAACAGGCAAAATTCTGATGCAACGAGAATTTATACCTCTTTTTACAAGGTTGGTTGTCTTTTGACTTCATGATGGGGTTATGTTGACCTGGACATGTGGGAATTCACAATTTGCTAAAACTTTGTAACTTAAAGGTTTAAAATACTTGTAGTCTTTTGTAAAGGACTTCAATGTTACATTTACTGTTATGGAGGTAGAAGAACCTTGGAAGTGTTGTGGGTTTGAAAATGACATTCGAAATGAAAATGTCCAAATAAAGAACTCACATGATTTTTCATGACATGAGCAGAACTCGCCCTTTTTGTATGGAGGCCCTCTTGACTCTTGTAATGTTATTTTTTAGTCAGAATAGCCACAGCTACACAGACCCCAAAATGAACTACAGTACAACGTGTATGTACCACTCAGGTTCCTATGATGGTATCATTGATTTCCTGTAAAAATCTGAAAGCCAAGTAATCAAATTACATGTACCAGGAGTCTAAAATTAGGATAGTCAAGAATGACAATCCTGCATCTCCTAATGAAATCTCTACTCAGTCTCTACGGACCACAGCAGTTTCTCTTAAGTTGTGACGTAGTGGTGCAGCCCGTACTTGTCCTGTTCGATGAGTCCCGCACAGAGCCCCAGCACGAACTCGTACGCGTACATCTCTGATTTTTTATTAGCAGAACTTGCCATTTTGTATTCCTACTCTGTATCTGCTAACCCCAGCAGTTTCTCCAAGGTTGTGACGTAGTGGTGCAGTCTGTACTTGTCCTGTTCGATAAGACCCTCACAGAGCCCCAACACAAACTCGTATTCATACTCGTACATCTTTTGGATGCTGGCCAGAACACTGCTACTCGGCCTCCGCCGCCCCCAGCAGTTTCTCTAAGGTTGTGACGTAGTAGTGCAGCCCGTACTTGTCCAGTTCTATGAGTCCCGCGCAGAGTCCCAGCACAAACTCATACTCGTAACAGTTACTAGTACATCTTTCTGATTTTTCATGAGCAGAACTTGCCATTTTGTATTTCTACTCTGTCTCTGCCGCCCCCAGCAGTTTCTCTAAGGTTGTGACATAGTGGTGTAACCCATACTTGTCCTGTTTGATGAGGCCTGCACAGAGACCCAGCACAAACTCATACTAATTATACTCGTACATGATCTTTCTGATTTTTCAAAAACAGTGATCACTCGTATTGCTACTCGGCCTCTGCTGCCCCCAGCAGCTTCTCTAAGGTTGTGACGTAGTGGTGGTACTTGTCCTGTTCGATCAGAGCTCCAGCACAAACTCGTATTCATACTCGTACATCTTTTGGATGCTGGCTAGAACACTGCTACTCAGTCTCTGCTAACCCCAGCAGTTTCTCCAAGGTTGTGATGTAGTGGTGCAGCCCATACTTGTCCTGTTCGATCAGACCCGCGCAGAGCCCCAGCACAAACTCATACTTGTACATCTTTCTGATTTTTTGTGAGCAGAGCTTGCCATTTTGTATTGCTACTCAGTCTCTGCCATCCCCAGCAGTTTCTCTAAGGTTGTGACGTAGTGGTGCAGTCTGTACTTGTCCTGTTCGATAAGACCCTCACAGAGCCCCAACACAAACTCGTATTCATACTCGTACATCTTTTGGATGCTGGCCAGAACACTGCTACTCGGCCTCCGCCGCCCCCAGCAGTTTCTCTAAGGTTGTGACGTAGTAGTGCAGCCCGTACTTGTCCAGTTCTATGAGTCCTGCGCAGAGTCCCAGCACAAACTCATACTCGTAACAGTTACTAGTACAGTCAAACCTGCCTATAGTGGTCACTCAAGGGACTGGCCAAATTTGACCACTATGGCCAGGTGACCACTATAGAGAAACAGCCGGTTAGTTGACCCCCCTCCCCAAAAAAAGGGACACATGCTTTGAGTACCAACAGTGATGTCTTTATTCTGAAACATATGAATACATACATTTGCAAAGGTACACCCCTTTTATATGTACATGTCTTAGTTCAATAATTTGTTGTTCTTTTGCTTTAGTTGTACTTTATTTTGTACTTGCTTGAAAAAAATAATAAATACAGAAATATTGCATGGAAACATTAACTTGACATCAAAGATACATACACTCAACATATTCAGTTCATCTATTCTGGGACAATGAAAGCATTCACATAATTTAAAACATACAAAATCACTGGTTGTCATTTACTGTGTACATACTAGTACTACATGTGGCTAAAGAAAAGAAAGCAAATCAAGCAACAAACTTTCAACTCCAAACAAATTTCTATCGACTGCTCAGCTTTCGACGATTTCTTCAAGCTCACTCTGCCAGTCGGATCACTTCCACCTTTTGGAATAAGTTCGGCGTCTGTCTTTCCGCTTTCGCCATCGTTTCTCCGCAATCGCCACGTTACTAGTAGTTGTTGTTGTTGTTAGTCGAAAAGTGGAAGAGAACGACATCGCCATGTTTTTGCTCTTTGGTGAACACTTGCTTCGCGCGACCGACATACGCCACAGCGAATTCCAACCACGTAAATAAGTTATTTTGTACCAAGATACTGTCTATTTAGTTAACAGCAAAATAATTGTTCGTCAGTTGCCAGTTACTTTCCGTTTTTGGTCGTTTTTGAACATGAAAACTTAGCGAAAACTCTCCTTTGTTTACGGCTTGGGTTTCTCCCCGCGTGGGTTGTCTGCCTCTACCATTATGCCAATGTGGTAGTCAACAGAAAATTTTCTCCTTTCAGACTTATATCTTTTCTAAAATATCCACTACAGTGTTAAATTTACATCTAAAATTACTTTTAGTAATGTATTTCAAATGTTTTCATAATGTAATTACATCATTTGACGCTAATAAAGTTAAATAAAACTCGGTGTATCTACCTCCATAACAGTGTAGTCTTCCGATGACCCCAATTGACCTCCCTTTGCAGATAACATGCGCCATCTTGGAAAAATACGAAACGCATTTTCGAGCCAAATTTCTTGAATTATGCTCATGAAAAACGGAAGCTATGCACATATCTACGCATTTCAAGGAATCGAGAAACCAAATATGGATATTCTTAAGTTTTTTTGTAAAGATAATTGCCGTAATCTTCGCCGAGCGGCCGAGTCCATTGAAAGCTCCATGCGGCACGCACGGCACTGGTGTTGGGGAAAACGCAGATATCAAAGACACCCGCGACCGCAGAAACTTCGTGTCAAAAGCCAGTTTTCCTTTATTTCATACACATATGGAGTTTAATTTTCAGTTCACATTTTCGTAATGTAGCGATCGGAAAATTATCACAAGGCTCATAACGGTCGTAGCCCGAGGTGGGGTGGTGTTACGGCCGTGGTGCTTAGCGGGTTACGGCCAGCCGCGACCGCTATCGGCGGTGTTGACATGCCGGCGGGACCGGAATGGGGTGACCGCTGACCGCGTTGAACAGTGACCGCTATAGACACGATTCTTAATGCTTACGTCAATGGGAAAAATTCAAGGGACCGGCAAAAACTGACCGCTATGGCCGAGTGACCACTATACAAAGGTGACCGCTAGTACAGGTTTGACTGTACATCTTTCTGATTTTTCATGAGCAGAACTTGCCATTTTGTATCTCTACTCTGTCTCTGCCGCCCCCAGCAGTTTCTCTAAGGTTGTGACGTAGTGGTGCAGTCCATACTTGTCCTGTTTGATGAGTCCTGCACAGAGTCCCAGCACAAACTCGTACTTGTACTCATACAGCTTTCTGATTTTTCAAAAACAGTGATCACTCGTATTGCTACTCAGTCTCTGCCGCCCCAAGCAGCTTCTCTACGGTTGTGATGTAGTGGTGCAGGCAATACTTGTCCTGTTCGATGAGACCCGCACAGACCCAGCACGAACTCGTATTCATACTTGTACATCTTTTGGATGCTGGCTAGAACACTACTACTCGGTCTCTGCTGCCCCCAGCAGTTTCTCTAAGGTTATGACGTAGTGGTGGAGCCCAAACTTGTCCTGTTCAATGAGGCCCAGCACAAACTCGTACTCATACTCGTACATCTTTCTGATTTTTCATGAGTAGAACTTGCCATTTTGTATTTCTACTCGGTCTCTGCTGCCCCCAGCAGTTTCTCTAAAGTTGTGACGTAGTGGTGTAATCCATACTTGTCCTGTTCGATGAGTCCTGCACAGAGCCCCAGCACAAACTCGTACGCGTACATCTCTGATTTTTTATTAGCAGAACTTGCCATTTTGTATTCCTACTCTATATCTGCTAACCCCAGCAGTTTCTCCAAGGTTGTGACGTAGTGGTGCAGTCTGTACTTGTCCTGTTCGATAAGACCCTCACAGAGCCCCAACACAAACTCGTATTCATACTCGTACATCTTTTGGATGCTGGCTAGAACACTGCTACTCGGCCTCCGCCGCCCCCAGCAGTTTCTCTAAGGTTGTGACGTAGTGAGGTAACCCGTACTTGTCCTGTTCGATGAGTCCTGCACAGAGCCCCAGCACGAACTCATACTCATACATCTTTCTGATTTTTCATGAGCAGAACTTGCCATTTTGTATTCCTACTCTGTATCTGCACACCCTAGTAGTTTCTCTAAGGTTGTGACATAGTGGTGTAGTCCATACTTGTCCTGTTCGATGAGTCCCAGCGCAAACTTGTACTCCTACTCCTACATCTTTTGGATGCTGGCTAGAACACTGCTACTCCACCTCTGCCGCCCCCAGTAGTTTCTCTAAGGTTGTGACGTAGTGGTGTAGTCCATACTTGTCCTGTTCAATGAGTCCTGCGCAGAGGCCCAAGACGAACTCGTACGTGTCGTGTAGGTGCTCCTGGTCCGTGACCCTGACGATGCGCCCGCCGCCCGTGTTACTCCCCGTGTAGCGGAGCCTGAAGTCCGGGTACGTTGGGTAGTTCCTTATGGCGGTCCACAGGTCCTCCCTGTCTGTGATGTACTTCAGAGTGTGGCTGCCGGGAGTGGATGAAGAAGAACTTAATTGCATGACAGCTGTAACAACAACGTATGGCAAAATATACATACATAGTTGGTGATGTAAAAATATATAACAGTTCTAAGTTCCTTATGGCTGTCCACAGGTCCTCCCTGTCTGTGATGTACTTCAGAGTGTGGCTGCCAAGAGTGGATGAAGAAGAACTTAATTGCATGACAGCTGTAACAACAACGTATGGCAAAATATACATTACATAGTTGGTGATGTAAAAATATATAACAGTTCTAAGTTCCTTATGGCGGTCCACAGGTCCTCCCTGTCTGTGATGTACTTCAGCGTTAGGCTGTCAGGAGGGTTAGAGTGTTGATGTGAGACATGCAGTAAAAGGCAAGTCAGGCTAGCCTCTACCAGGCTTCAGAGGCAGCTGGAAAGAGTAGAAATTGCTCCAATAGATAACATGCCAGGGGAATTAAGAAGGAGTACATCTTCAGAGCAGGAAAGTATTTCAGCAGAGCAACTCTCTTCTGGCATGTTGTCTGTCATATTTGGCCAATTTCTACTCTTTCCAGCCACCTCTGAAGCCTGGTGGGGGCTAAAGTTAGGCCACAGAAAGTTTATCGACAACACCCCTAACAATACCATGCTATTCAATGAGACACTGATCAACAAATGTGAAGAAAGGTCTTGTTGATCTCTTTAAACAAAAGTAAAAATGTGAATGCTCATTAAAAACTATTTTGTCTATATTGACGAGGTCATGTTAATATGATCCATAGAGTATAGTGTCCTCACCATTTGAAGTCAGTATCGACTGGTGATGAATGTGTTGTCATGGAAGCGACAGTTCCAAATGAAAGTGGGAAACTGGTGGGCGCGGCTCGCTGTTCTCTGCTGCCGGACGCCAGGGACTGGAAGGGCCTCTGGACCGCATCACGGTTCTCTCGCTTCTTCAGAAATGCTGAGGAAAAAATGAAAAAGAATGTAAGACTAGAAAGATAACATTTGCAAAGCAAATGCATAATTTTTACCTTGGCTTCACATGGCCTAGCCTAACAAACTGCTCTGTTTATTGTTACTCAAACAATTCATATATGATATATGGTGAGCTGCCTCTCCAACTCTGTCCTGCAAAATGTAACCCAACACCACAGGGTGTCTGCTACAGCACCAGTTACCATGGTGATGGATGTCTGGTCCAAGTCATTAATTTTATTTATTTAATCAAGAAGAAGAGGCAGAAGTAACTGAGCAAAATTCAGACACTACAGACCGTGTCAGTCAGGTGACCTCACACTAGACTGGTCAACCTACCGTCCTCATATCTCGGCCTGACTTTAGGTCTGTAGTTTTGTTTCCACTTGGCTATGACTTCCTTGTAGTAGTCTGTGTACTGTTCAACATCTCTGATCTTCTCCATAGCTCTGCAGTTAGGAATGCAAAATGTGTTTAGTGTTTTATGAATGAGAAATATTCTACATTCAAAAGCCTTCATAAAAAGCCTTGCATTATTCAACATTTAACATACTGACATGACATTATGACATGTACACTTCACTGCTTGGGATGTTCGTTTCTTGTGTTTATATATACAGTATACATCATTGCTGAGTTTCATAAGACTTCTTTCCTTTTTTTCATGAGACAAAATATTGCTAAATGTATATATTAGAAGGTGGTTGAAAATTTGTAGGCACTCTTAAATCCATCATTATGGGACAAAGAATACACTGATTCTGCGGTAGATTATACCTGTCAGTTTTGGGCAGCCCTCTTGTTGTCATTTGTTCCCTTCTCTCCATGGCCCAACTCATCCAGTCTTCAAACACAAACAACTTCACATCTAAACATGAGAAACCAAAACACAACTTGTATTACAAGGGAAAGAAAGCTGAGGAATATGTCTTTCAGTCAATGGCTGACGGCCACCACTCATACTAGTAGTCCCTGTCCTTGGTGCTGATTTCCTGGTGTTTGCATCAGCAGTATTTTCAGGGTGCTGATCAGACATCACATTCAGTCTTTGCGCATTTCTAGACAATTATACCAAACATTGCCTTCCGACATTCTCCAGACCATACAGTTGGGAGTCAGTTGTGAGCAAGGTTATTTGTGGTTGGGAGTTCTATAAGAATTGTACCAGCTGATGATACATGTTTAAAAATCAAAATTGGGAAGGTCACGTGCTTGCAAAAGAGCAGAAGAGTAAACCAGAGCTAGAATAGGAGGGATTCCAGGCTACTCTCACACCAGCACCAACTTTGGCTGGGAAGCAGTCAAGGACAAAGTCTTGGGAAGGTAAACAGTGTATAAATTAGTACAATTTGGTACCGAGTGACTACATGTACCATAGCATGGAGAAGGTTGAAGGCTTATGATATGGTAAAATATGTACAAGCCTAAAAGGACATTTAAGAGTGTTCCTTCAGACGACTAACCTGGTTTTTCCTTGCTCTGTAACTCCCTGGCAGTCTCTGAGAGAGTCCTGTGCACAACAAAAGATTCTGATGCTCAAAAAGCTAAGATCATGTGAAAATAATACTACATATAGCTAGTTCCTTCCAAAAAATCTAATTAAACATCCCCAAACATGATTGGTATCTTATAATGTTGTTGTATACTACATACATACCTTGGCATTTGTACATTTCTGACATTTGCTATCTGTATCTGTATCACTGGTATAACCACCCTTGGCGTAACACGCCAGCTATGGTATAAGTTTTGCTTCAAATAATGTATAAAAGTGTAGATGCTCATCATGATAAGAGAACATACTAAACCAAGTGACATAGTAAAAATAATCAATCGAATCCTGATTTTTTTTACATTACCTCTCTGTGTTGTCATCTAGTCCAAACAGCAGCTTGAGTACCACAATGATGAGACCCATGGCGATGGCCTCGTGGTTCAACATGGCGTCATACCGGTTACACCACAGGGTGGGGTCAATAGGGCGCTGGGTCAGTAACTTCCCGACCAACCCATGCAGCTCAGCTGAAGTGGGGAAAAATGATATTTTGGATGTGAAATTTAGAAATGATTGCCAGTACAATATTCAGTTTAAGTTGTCTGATGATAGGTTGCTGGGACAGTAACTTCCCTACTAAACCATGCAGCACACCTGAAGTGGGAAAAAACATGAGGGGTTTTGGATGTTGACATGTGATATTTAGAAATGATTCACAGTACAATATTTAGATTGATTTTTGAAAAAGCTATGATGATAAGTTTGTATACTTGGTGCAGGGTTATGTTTTATCCTGTATACACAATCTCTTTGTCGAGCGCTCAGAGAGCTGCTAACCCCAAGAATGTTGGGGAGCTAAGAAAAGCTACACCAGCATGTAGGACTCGGGAGCTATATATATATTGGTTCCGTTTCATTCTCCTTGAAGCTTCCTAGACATTGGTTTAAAAATAATAATTAATGTACTAAATACTAGCGACCATCAATTCAAGACATAAAATTTAATGTAACCTTTTCTTAAAACTATTCAGATAACCTTTCAATGATACTAGTAGTAGTCAAAAGTTTACACTTATCACATTTTGATGTACATGTAGTATACAGTTATAATCATAAGGCGACAAACCCACCAGGCAGGTTGAGGTCCAGTATAAACCTGCTGGTGACCCTGCTGAAGTCCACCTCCGGCAGTGGGGGCAGCTGGAGAAACCTCGCCAGGCGGGCTGTGTTGTTCTGGATAACTTGGTACGACGGGAAGGCCTGCAAGAACATGGTGGAAAATATTATACTGTCTAAAGCAGTAGGGCTGTAATATCTTGAAGACCTGCTCAGGGCCATGGAGGATAGGGAGGGCTCAGGCGGAAGAGAGTCACAAGCATCCGTGAAACTCTAACGACCAGATGATGAGATGATGATGATGTAATATCCTACATACTTTTGCAACAATTTATGAATCTCTGACTATTAGTGATAATGTCTGCCTTTAACCTTACAACTGCATGGAAGTTATTTTTTGCTAAGACATAGTATAGTGTAATTAAACAGCAGATCAGAGAGGCCAGGCTAGTTGACATGTTTAAGAGGTCATGGGTTTGATTGTTTGCATTTCTGGCTAGACTTTGACTTTTTGTCCTTGGGGAAGGCATTTTACACAACTTTCCTCACTCCACCCAGTTGTAAAATGGGTACCTTACTTTGGTTGAGGAGGTACATTGTACAAGGTGGTGGAAAGAGAGAGCCCTAGACACTGTGGACTAACAACCCACTATAGCCATGGCTGCAAAAAGGCTATGGGACCTTTACCTTCAGTCTCAACATACTACACCTTCAATATTTGCTTGAAAATTCAAATATAAATCTTTTCAAAAGACAGGAAAAGCACTTACCTGAACACAGAAGTTGTTACAGTCCTGGATGCCCAGTTTCATGTGTTTGGGGAGCAGCTCTTTCACAGCAATGTATGGTATGTGGCCCTCACGCACCCACCTGAGAAAAAGGTCATTCTTAAGTTATACGAAAGGTAATACCAAAAGTCTACCTTTGTTACAAATAAGCTTAGGTATAAACAATCAGAATATCTTGAACTTTAATCCCTTAGACTAATTAAGAGTTCTAACTGTTAAGATATTTCTACAAAAACCTTTCACTGTTGTGAACCAGTTTCTATGAAAAACGTATCAACCATAGAAATCACTGAGAAGCTTCGAAATTCATCATGTACAGTTGTGTTGTGAGTCTTTGTGACGTAACAACCCACAACATAGCCAGTACCAAAAAGAATGATAAATTATGATATGAGATTCCTGTTACATTTCTACACCATAATTTCATATTTCTAAAACCCAATTTACATATCAAAAGTACACACCTGATGATGTCTGAGGGCAGTACTGGTTCCTGTAACCACAGAATCCCCAGGTAGGAGAAACACAGTGTCCGTAACATGGTCATTCTCTGGATGGGGTATGTGCCTCTCTTCTTACCACGAGTTGTACCACTGCTGCGGCTGTCAACTGAGCCACGATCGTCCTCCCGGTCATCATCCGTGTCAGACGTAACGTACACTGACGTGTCAGATGTTTCAGTCTCCGGTCCGGAGACCCCGCGGATGTACATGTCAATATCATCTGAAAAATTAAGTTTATTGCAAACATTAATTTTTATGTGCAAGATTTGTCATTTCTATGCCAACAAGGGCAGTTAATAAATATGTACTCATAAATACTAAGCTGCAAGATTTCCTGACAGTGCACAACTGAGCTCTCTTGATCATCTAGCCTTCCATTTGGTTATAATGATAAATTTAGATCATTAAGCAGACTAAAGAATATAGTGTTAAAGAGAAGCCAAAGAAAATTTGAACTACCTGAAGTTTTATAATCTTAAATTTGAAAAGAGATGACATTTTAGCAATTTTGCATTCTGGGATTTTACAAAAGATGGAAATGGGGAAAAAAAGAAAATAAGGTGACAGACCTTCAATGATAAATATGTTAATAAATGTTTCATTGTTCAAAAGTTACCTGTAACTTTTAAAATCTAATTTGCATAAAACCTCACCTATAGGTTCAAGGTCACTTCTGGCGGAGGCCTGGCTACTCAAAGGATCATGGGTAGATCCTGCATCTGTTGACTCTCCCTCTGATCCCTACAGTTTAACAAAGAACACAACATGTGGTCAAAAAAATCATATGTAGAATTCTTTTGTCCCCAGCTATAATATAACAATGAAGAGAGTCAAAATGGCAAATTATCCAGTGAGAAAACCTGTAAGGGGTTAGGTAGCAGCTACATGTAGAAAAGTTAGCTATACGACAGTATCAATGTCTATTCTTATTTCAAAATTTTTGACATATATACTAGTATCCCTGGTAAATGTATGGGTTGTTATTTTTGCCAACAAGACCTGAGATCAGAAGAAAGAGACGCAATACAACATTCCTCACGACCTCACCTCTGTGAATAGAATCATATTGTTGGTAAGTCATTGAATATAAAGAGAGTGAGATTTGCCAAGGGACTGGTAACAGATGGTCATCAAAACGTTGCCTGAATAGAACACGTAGTTGCACAAAAAGAGTCTCTATTCAATACTCTTCACCTTGTCCTCCCCTGCCTGTGCCTGTGTGTCAGTTTTCCTCCTGTGTGTAGCTGAAGTCATCCTGTCCTGTTGTCTGAAGGTCAGCCCGTCCTGTGTGTGGGGCTGGTGCTCCTGGGCCACCCCGGTAAACGCCACCCCACACCGACTCAGGTAAGAGAACCACAGCTGCTTCACTATGTCCTGACGGTCAGAAAAATTTTACAGAAAAAAAATTAACACAAAACTAGAAAGGTAACATTTGCAAAACAAATGCATAATGTTTACGCATATGGTCTGCTGCTCTGTTAATTCTTACTTAAACACATTCATAAGTATCTGGTCACACAGGAGTCTAAATCCCTCCTGCTATAGAATTGCAACACTAGTTACCATGGTGACAGACAGGTCAGGTCATTGACCTTATTTGTTTGGAGAGGAGGGGAAGAAGAGTAAAAACAATAAGTTTTCCTGTGGCAAAGGTAAACATAAGAAAAGTATTGGCCCCATTCAACCTGCCAAGACCAGGGGTAGTCACTGCAGGTAATCCTAGCATTGCTTGCTCCTGCCCCCAATGGTATTGCAAACTAGTAGGAGGTTAGCACTCTGACTTTGGCCCCTATTTACCAGTATAATACTTTCACAGCCTGGGTACCATCCTGGTTAGTTTAGGTCCGCTCCTACAGTTGGTACTGACTGTCAGAACGGTCCGCAAACTAACCAGGATGCATGGTACCCAGGCTAATACTTTCATGCCTGGAAGAAAAAAAAATCTCACCTTGAGTCTCGGACTGACGCCCATCTTCACTAACGTATCCACCTGTGCCTTGATGATGACCTGGAAGGCTTCATGTGTGTACCACGGGTAGGACTCCTCCAACGTTAACCCTACACATAACAAAGCAACAATCAAGGTGGCAAGGTTGTTCTCTCATTGGTACTGTTGACTCAGAATTTAAACTGAAGGTCCTGGGTTCAAATCTCTGGCAGGAAGCCCCACTGTTGTGTCCTTGTGAAAGGCACTTAACATCTTTTTTCACACTAGACTCAGGTTAAAATTAGCCTGGGTTCCATCCTGGTTAGTTTACGTCTGCTCCCACAGTTGCTATCACCAAAACTAACCAGGATGGAACCCAGGCTAGGTGAAAATGATATGAGGAACACACATGAGTTTAGGTGGGCAAAGGGGCTCTGAGCCCTTTGCCCACCTAAACTCGGGCAGCAGTACCCAACTAGTATCCAGCCGTTA